AGCGGTGGGTATTTGATGGGAGCGACGGGAGAGCGACGGGGCAGAGCAGCGGTGGGCAGAGAGTATTAGCAGAGAGCGCCAGGGAGAGCGAGCTGTATGAGCAGTGCCAGGGAGCGGCAGGGGAGTTGCTGCTGGGTTGCTGTAAAGACTTGCAGGAGTGCCGAGTTGGTAACTCCATAATAGGTAGTTTATATAACTAGGTAATAATAATGGAAACTCCCCAGCAGCCGGAGCTTAGTTGCCTCCCACATGATGATTCCTGCTCCAGCTGCTGCAGTCATCTACACTATACCCACCGGTGATGTAACTAATGGAGCAGCGGAAGTTCCAGGCCTCAGCAAGGAAATACTGGGTAGAAGTGAGAAACAAGTGAATTTCGCTCATCTGGCTAAGGGGGGTATTCAATATAAAAAATGCTAAGATAAAAGGTCTATGGAGGACATCACTTCCTCCCGCTTTCCCTCTGCTTCTCATCACACTCCTCTGACTATCCCCAAAGCAGAACGCACAAGCCAGAGCCTAGCCAAGGAGGTCAATGTCCAAATCAGTGCGGAAGAAACAATCAGGCGGATTGGGTGTTCTGTGATCAACAAGCTGGGATTTCCAAAGTAACTTTTGATAAATGGAATTACGGTCTTTGTCTGCGTGCAGCTGATGACTGTCCTCATCTGGGGCTTCTGATGGGGCACGCATATCAAGAAAATAAGGGCGGTGGTGTTGTGGAAGTCCTAAGGAATTCTCTGGCAGTCAAGCTCCAGGAGAAGAGTCTATTTTCCAAGTGTTAGAAAATAGCAGAAAAGAGCGAGACAGGAGTGTGAAACTTACTGGTTCCATTGTGCTTTGCTGAGTCTAGATCTACGGGAAGGCTTCCGGATATCTTGCTCTGTTCCGGGTACAAGGGTCCGCCGGGGTGTAAAGGCTGTTGCACCTGAAAGGTCCATTAGTATGGGCGCAAAACGATCGTAGAAAGTCGGGACAACGTTTCAATTCCAGTACCAGCAGTTATAACGAACGTGGCGTGGGTTGGTTCGGGTCGTATAGGAAAGAAACTATGAGTGAGTACTGACTTTGCGGAACTCGTCACCATCGACGACAATTTCGCGGTCACGGAGTTGTCTCATCAAAGCAAGGAAGTTGCTCTGTTTGAACTTCTGGCTTTGATCATGGCTCACACGGTCAAGTAGCTCTCCCGCGGTCTTGGATAGTTCATCAGACTCGTTCATTCCTTCTTCAAGCTGGGCGGGTATATTGTCGGAACCAATTCTAATAGTCTCAAGTGGTGCTGCCTCTGATACATCTGGTTTTAGTTCTAAATTCTCCTGCTGCCGTGCAGATTCCTGTAACTCAATTTCTGCGCGGGCCTCCGCAAATGCCGCTTCAAAGGCAGAATCGTCGAAGATTTCGGCTGGCTTCGGCTGGCTTTGCAAGCTTTCAGTAGCGGCCGGAGTATAATTATCTGGTCGAGCAAATCCGGGATTGCCTAACATGCCCATTCCAGGTCGGTAACCCATACTCCCATGGAAGATGGATGACTGTGGGGTTTGCTGTACCCCATGCGCGGGCTCATGGTGACGGCCAGCCAAGCTAGCTTGAAATGTAGGCGTATCAGCTTTGATCTGATGTAGTGGTTGCTGTAACTGCGTTCCGGCAATATGTAGGTTTTGGAAATCAGTAGCCCAGCTGGAAACGTCGGCAGCCGGCTGGGGCGCGAACTGGGGAGGCGGAGGAAGGAAGGTGTTTATATTATTGGGCTGATCTAGCAACGGGGCTGAGTGACCAGCTTCGAAAACATTGAACGCTGCATCTAGTTGTCCCTGGGACGATGTATTTGAGCGAAATCCCTGTAGGTAAAAGCCCGGGGGGTTAGCACAACTGCTGAACCTAGTCTTGTGATAAGAAGTTCACTTTACCTGCGCAGGAGGCTGTCGCGTAGAGGCCCTATCCTGCTGAAGGGTCCGGTCTACAGAAGCATGTTTCTGGAAGTTCTGTAGAGCATTTGAAGGACCGCAGAGTGCGTCTGCCATAGTTGTTTCTTATATAGCTTGCTGCAACGCTTGATCAGTCGGCCTGTGAGAAGGAAGAGGAGAAAAACGACAGGTCCTTTGCAGCAAGAAAGAGGGGGCTCTGCTTTATAAAGATGCAGAGCTAGAGGTATCTTGGATTACAAAAGTGAAGGAGGGCAAAGAAGTAAAAGAAGAAGTGGAATAAGTAAAGGGAAGAAGTGAAGTTGACATTCGTCTTTATCGCCGAAAGAGGAAGAGAGAGCAGACGACGGCCCGTGACCCTTGGTTGAGCCGAGGCTTATCCCTAAAGAGGAAAGGCGTCGGTAAAAGTATAAAGCATTTCTCCGCCTCTGATTAGATAAGATCTTTTGTGGCTGATGAATTAAGCACGTGATTCAGCCTCTCTTTACTGTGGCTTGACTTCTTTTTGATGCCAGTCAACCACTTTGAGTGTTCAACTTCGACCTTGGACACAGAGACCACATCTCACAGTCCATCATCCTCCCCGCCCCTTCAGTTGATCTGATCTGCTGTGGCGCCAATTGGTCAGGCGATACCAGGAGTGGCCGCTGCGGATAGACAAGATGGTATGTATTTTATCCTCCGTTTTGCTTCCCCTTTTCGAGGGTGTCCCCGCTAACTGGCTGATGCAACAGGCGCAAGTGATAACCAACTCGGGTCATGATGACATGATTGTACGCTCATTTTCTACCTCTTACGTCTGATTAAATACAGAATACTAAATTGACCGTGGATAGCATGACGCCGGACTCGACTACTTTGGGCGGAAGCTCGCAACATGCTCCTCAGACAAGACAGTCAAGATCTTTGAAATCGAGGGAGAATCACACAAGCTTCTCGAGACACTTAAGGGGTTAGTTGAAATTTCCGTATGCTACCTACTACCTACTAACGGTTTCCCAGTCATGAAGGAGCAGTCTGGTGTGTTGCTTGGGTACGTCGTTCTATCCATCTGATACACTGGGGGCGATTGCTAAACAGCGTCCACAACAGGCACATCCGAAATACGGCACAATACTAGCATCTTCATCCTACGATGGGAAAGTCCTCATATGGCGTGAACAAAGTGTTGGCAGCGGCGCTAATTCCTCAACCTCCTGGAGCCGGGTGTTCGACTTCTCCCTCCACACGGCTTCCGTAAATATGGTATGCTGGGCACCCCATGAGCTCGGTTGCCTTCTCGCCTGCGCCTCCTCCGATGGACAGGTTAGCGTTCTTGAGTTCCGCGATAATAGTTGGACACATCAGATTTTCCATGCCCATGGGCTCGGAGTCAACTCCATCAGCTGGGCTCCCGCCGCGGCTGCCGGCTCAATCATAAGCGCCAACGCTGCTGCTGGCCAATCGAGAAGATTCGTTACTTGTGGAAGTGACAATCTTATATTCATATGGGATTACAAGTATGCGTGCACACTTGCTTTCGTGTTGACATGTTTAATCGGTAGTGCTAACTTGCTACCCCCATCCAGCCCCGAGACCAAAACGTATTCCGCTTCGCAAACCCTCCAAGGCCATACCGACTGGGTCCGTGACGTAGCTTGGTCTCCCAGTATCTTATCTCGGTCCTACATTGCCTCCGCATCCCAAGACAAGACCGTACGAATCTGGACTTCAGACCCATCTAACTCTCAGGAATGGACGAGTGAGAAACTGGAATTCGATACCGTTGTCTGGCGCGTCAGCTGGAGTCTAAGCGGCAACATCCTTGCTGTCAGCGGCGGTGATAACAAGGTCAGTTTGTGGAAGGAGGATCTGAAGGGGAAGTGGGAGAAAGTCAAGGATATCGAGGAGTGAACACGGCCCGGCATGTGAAAAAAAAAAAAAAAAATAATAATAATAATAAATAAATCAAAATCAAAGAGGGCGGTTCTGAATACAAGGTCATTTAATTCCCGACTGCTTTGATATATTTCGTGCTGTCTATCCGCTCGTCTGTCTGCTGTGTCTTCGGGAGTTTGAGTTTAAGACCGGTGGGAAAACATAAGTTCGGAGCGGCTGCTTCGTTCGTCCTTTTTATTTATATCCCTCTCTTTGATTTCTTATAGTATCATGAAAACAGTCACGGTAGATTCAATACCCAAAATCCTTCCTTACTCGACTCCAGCGGAAAAGAATCCCATGAGTCTATATACATATCCGGCACGCCCGCCATATATCGAGAGATCTAATCAACATAAACTCTCCCAACTTCACATTCAATCCCAACTTCAACTTAGGCCTCCTTTCCATCCATCATCAGGAGACAGAAGAAGGTAAGGTAACATCAATCAGGGTAGGAATGCCTACGTTAGGAGTGAAAAACAGCAAATAAAAAAGCATAACGCGTCAAAAAACCAGCATGGAAAGGGTAGTAGTTGAGTTGGGTAGGGATGGGAATGATAAAATAGCAGAGTAAAATTGTGGGCACGTAATTAAGAGCATGAAACAGAGGGCATGTTAACGTTAGCAAAAAAAAGAGTAGCATCAGATATCCAACCCGCCTCCCCAAACGGATAGATATCTATAAATAGAGAAAAAAGAAGTTCATCGTATGTAAAGGAGGTATGTTTGTAAGTGATGGGCAGGGGTAGAGGAGCGTCACATATCAATCGAGTCGTTAAATCGTAGCACGCCAGTTTCACGCATAACCCCGTTAACATTACCGGGCATGCGGAAGAGGGCATCATTTGTTCCCCCGAAGCCAGCGTGCGAAGTCGAGTTTGCGTTTACTGAACCAGCGTTTTGTTGTCGGCGTCTTTCGGCGCTTTCGTCAGATGTGTCTGCAACCAACACGAGGCCAAGCTCTTTTATTGACTCGGCCAGAGAGGGCATTACATTCTATTGGCATGGTATGTTAGGCCAAGCGTATGAATGTATGAGGTGAATAATAGGTGGGACAATAGACTTACGAGTAGACTTGATCGGCACATAAGGCCCATTAGATTGTTGCTTTGGGCGATACGGGCGGATTCCTTGATAGAGAGGGAGGCACGGCCACTGTATTGGATTGCTGGAGATGAAAATGATGGAGGCGAAGCCGGAGATTGAATTGAGCTGGTATTTGAGTCCCGGGGTTGACCGAGGTCGTTGCAGAGCAGGACGGGGTCTAAAGCGAGGTTAGCAAGGAGTGTGCTCTTCATCCACACCTAGGCATAGCTTACAGTTGGGTTGCTTCCAGTTCAAAGCAACACATATCCCGACGTTGTAACTGGTAAAGACAACAGATCTCATGAAATCTGGATTCGCCAGCCTGGATGCACGGGCATGATTAAACACATGTGTGAGAATGGCGTCTGCAAAGTTGTTGATGTTGAAGGTGAGGCGGAGATCAAGCTCCTTTTGCTCTGCTGGGGAAGGGTAGAGGATGCATAGGTTTACATGGATGGAGGTCGGTAAGTGGAGGAGGACTTCTTCAAGAGTCAAAAAGGACGTAGCTAGGAGACGGTGGGCGGTGGGGATGTCAGTGATTGACATTGCGGCGAGGGATGGTAGTAGTGAGCTAGTCGAGCTGTTGCCGGTAGAGTTTGACTCAGAAGAAGCAATTATAATGTTTGATGGAGGGGGATGTTCACGACCAATGGCCTTAAATTCTTCGATAGAGAGATGTGAGATGGGTATGCGAACACCATGGTGCATGATTGTGAATTCGGGGTATAGCACGGGTACCAGGTCTCTCGTCATCTGGACAAATATCTGTACATAGTCTCCAGACAAGCTGGAGCCGGTGACTTGGCCATTGTGCTCTGCATCGAAAGCACTGGTGGCTTTCCAGTAGGTAGCAAAATGAGTAATTTCCAATGGATCTCCGTAGTATGGTTTGATGACCTGGAAGTTGAAGCGGATTTCACCAATGGCTCTAAGCCGGGGGTCAAATACGGGAAGACAGCAGTGGCCAGAACTTCTGCCGTCGTTTTCGAAGACGTCAGGCAAAGCAACTGTTTTGGCAATAACCTTGGAACCAAAAGTTGGGAATATCTCAAAGTCGATTGCAAAGTTTTCCAGCTTATCAATGTGAAATGATATAAAGCGCGAGTCTTCTTGTAAAGGCAGCATGACATTACGAGGGATCAGGTCTGTCATCTTGGACGATATTGTTAGTCGTGCAGCAGCATAGCGGCCAGTCTGATAGAAGACAATGGGGTCCGCAGATGGCGGGTTGAAATGGATCTGCACGAATGTTTTGTTGTCCAAGAAGTTGTGGCCATAGTGACGAAGCGGGATGATGGGAGGTGGGAGGGATAGGTCCGGAATACCGTCGACCTCAAGGGCAGGAATTTGTTTTCTCTCGTCACTCAAGGGTGTGAGGGTGGCAGTCATAGCATCACGGTACTTGGGGCCATTATTGAGGACATCGAGGGGGGTCTGCCCTGCGATGGGACGGGATATACGCTGAGACCAGAGCAGCTTCATACATTCAAGATGACCCTCCCAGACAGCGTAGTACATGGCCGGCAGGCCCTTTTCATCCAGGGCATCTGCATCAACACCGCAGTCAAGTAGAGTACGCAGACATCCAACGCAGCCCTCTGCAGCCGCGTGAAATAGGGGGGTCCATTGGTATAGCTTATCACGCTGGTCGAGGTCTGCACCGTGGTCCTTAAGGAGTAGGAGAACTGCGGAGGAACGACATGAGCGAGCTACAAGATGCTGTGGGTATAGGCCCTCGGCATCTGGCAAGAACTTTGCGTCTCGCTCAAGCAGAATCTTTATTAGTGCAAGGGAGGCATGCTGACAGGCTAGGTTAAGTGGTATATGATCCGACTCTGAGGTTGGGTTGATTCGGGCATTGTGTGAGAGCAGCTGCTCAACGCAGGAGACCTGGTCCTTGATGATGCTGTGGATGAGAGGGGTGAAATTATCATGGTCCGTGTAGTCGATGGTAGATAGGCCCTTCTCAAGCAGAGAATGCACCATGCCAACTCGGCCGTGCATGCAGGCGTAATGCAGTGGAATTCTGCCGTAGACGTCCGCCTGTGAGATATCGACACCACGCTCGAGAGCAGCGTCAAAGACGAACTGGCGCCCTGAGATAACGGCTTCATGCAGACAGTTTCGTTCATTAATGTCGTCCTCGGCGTGGACGTCAACAAGGTTAGTTTCTAGCAAAAGGGTGAGCACTTCATCTGGATACTCATTAATCGCAGTCAGAAAGATGCGGGTGAGATGGTCAGCTGCATCTGGAGAGAGCTGAATCTTGCTGAGCCAATCGCGTAGAGGCTGAAGATTCCCCGTAGCAGCAGCAGAGTTAAGGATATGGAGGTCACTGTCGTCCTCCTCTGCTATGCTGGCTGGTCTGTCCGCCTGTCTGGGAGCGTTGAACTGGATATTTTCGCCTTCCGCCCATGCCTCAAGCTCTAGCCTGGCTGTGGTAGCGCGGTCAGAGAGGTCTCTGAGGACTTCTCGGTTGAAGCACGGCTGGACTTCAACCGCTCGCTGTAGATATAGCTCTTTTGTCCGTGACTATACCATTCTGTAAATACGTGACCACGCAGGATATGTACCAGAGCACAGAGACACCCACACACCTTTGATGTTTTATCCCACTATATATTCTGTTAGTATTGGTCTACAGTAGGAACAGTAGTTTGGAGTGTACCTCACCTTTTTCAGTATCTTGGATACGGCCGTCTCGTTAACCTCCACAAATTGCTATCACAACAGATCAGCAATCCAGCACTCCATCCTCCAGTTATCAGGAGACACTATATACACACCTGCAGCTTGTTCAAGTCACCATCAAACTGCTGGAACCCTTCTATCAATGCTACGAAGTTCGCGGGGGCCTTTGAATTCGACACCGTCCGGCGCGACTGAATCATCCGCTGCTTGTCAAGTAGCGTCTTGAGCCGCAGCGAGAACTCGGCCTCCTTCTGCAGGTAGAAGACATTGACCTTCTCTATCTCACGCTCCAGACGGAAGAAGAAGACCTCCTTGTTCGCGCGCAGGGCAGCCTGGGCATCGAGCACATCGCTGGACTGTTCTTGAGCAGCGCCTTGCGCCGGGATCGTAGGCGTCGCGCTGAGTTGTTTGATGAGCTGCCGGCGCCGGTCAGTAATCACAGCCTCCATCTACTACTGCGCTGTACATGCACTGGTGGGGATGCAGCGGGATGTTCGGTACCTTCTTGAGGGCCTTGTAGTTGAAGAAGCTGGCCGCGTACTCGGGCAGGTCGAGCTGGCGCCGCTGGATCTGCTTGCCGAACTTCATGGCCCGCCTCTGCTTCCTCGCTCGCGTCTGCCGCTGTGAGTCGCTTCGCTGCTCGAGTGTCGTCTCTTCTTGTCCCTTTTCTGCAGCCTCAGCTTCGATATCTCCAGAATCTCCAGTGTTCTTCGACGTCAAAAACGTCGCTTTTCTCGCGGGGCAAAAAACGGCGGCAGACGAAGCAGACGCAGCGCGGGCCAATTAAAGTAGCCGGTTTGGGCAGCTGGCGAGTTGATGACTTCACTAGCGAAAAAGGAGCACGCCGGAGTTAGCGCTATTAGCCCTAGGTACTCTTATTTCTACAACAGCTACTCCTACAACAATACACTATTCACTACGACGCTGCAGATACTAAGGCTGCAGATACTAGGGCTGCGGACACGGTGGACGAGATAGAAAGTGGTATTACTACATATCATCGGCAGGAAGAGACAGGAGAGACCAAGCGGGAAAAGAAAAAAGTAAGCACAATCTGTACAGCGTGCTTTTTCACCAAACACAAATATCAAAGCCAGGGGAATAAAAGCGACAAGAAGAGACGGAAATGGGAGCAGACAAAATAAAAGAGATACAAGGGAAGATGGTCCAAAAAAAAAAAAAAAAAATAAAATAAAATAAAAAAAGAAGAAGAAGAGGGTAGGAAGAAGAAAGGCGAAAGATTAACAAGAGAAGAACGGGGAGATATTAAAAGTTCTGCGCTATGCCGGCGTTGCCCTGCTGCGGATGGGGGAATACGCTGGGGCTTTCGATGCGGGTGTTGCGCCGGGCAGAGACGTCGCGGATGACGGGCTGCGGCCCAAGGCTGGTTTGGTCGTGGCCGTGACTGCTGCTGTGGCCGTGGGAGTAGCCAGCTCCCTGGCCATCCGGGTAGTAGGCGCTCTCTTCATAGTACTGTGCGCCTGCAGGGGCTCCCGGAGGCATCATGTCGTCGGACATGTCTGACTGGGCGCCTGTGGAGTACGCTGATGAGGCATTGGACAGGCCGCGATGGATGTTGCTCGCATTTTGATGCTGGATGGGGACCTGCTGCTGGTGTTGTAATGGTTGTTGTTGTTGCTGTTGCTGTTGGACTGGAGGCTGACCGATATGCAGGGCTTTGGGGATGCCGGCGGCTGCAGGTTCAACACGGCCTAGGCCTTGACGCTGTTCATCGTCGGCCATGTGGAAGGATTCTTCGACGGGGGATACCTCTCGGCCATACATGGCGCTGCTGTCAGCCCCGCCGCTCGAGGCCGTGTTGGTGGGTGCATGGCGTGAGTTGCTGGTCGTGCCCCAACCACGGTAACCTCCGCTTGCAGCTGCACCACCTGCTCCAGCGGCAGCAGCAGCAGAGGTGTCCTTCAAGGCAACGTCGGTATCGTACATGCCCACGGCCGGTAGGGTAGGGTCATTGTTCGGGTTGAAGCGGTATTCTTCAATTTCCTGCTTGCGCTCTTCCTCCGCCAATTTACGGGCCTTGCGCTTGCGATACCAAAACAGCAGTAAAATGATAATCAAAGCTACCGAGACGACAGGTACAACGACTGCAATTGCAATGGTTCCGCCGGCAGAAAGACCGCCGTTTCCATTGCCAGAGCCGGAGCCTGGAGGCAGGGTTGGTGCTGAACTAGAGGTAGAGGACGAGGAGGAAGAAGGTGCTGGGCGGGTGGGGTTGGGGTTGCTCGGCAAGGACGCCGTGGAGGTGATGATGATAGTTGTGCTCGACTGCTCCGGAGTAGTTGGACTTGGATTCTGGCTGGTAGGAGAAGGCGAGTCAGAGGTTGTTGGCG